TCGTCGTCTATTATAATTGAATCGAATTTAACCTCGCATTTTGGTACTGAGGCAGCTCTTGCTTCAACTATAGAAGTAGTCAGAGATTCAAGAGCATAATTAACATCATCTTTATGTTGCAAAGGAATGTTTAGATCGAAGCTATATTCCATAAATGTTCGATATTGCTCCCAATCAGCTCTATGGTAATTGAAAGTAGAGCTGTTGGGCTTAGAAATTATTTCTTGGGATATTTCAAAATTTACTGGAAGGTGATTAGAACTGAAGTCAGCACGGGTAATTGGCTTCAAAGTTGACATGACTCAGTTAAGACCAATTCAATCATTGAGGGATTTCTTGCTGAAGAAAAGCATGTTGGGTGTTGACGGGTAAGTTTCTGAAGGTCACCCTTGGGAAAATTCTTTTGCGCATTGGAATGGCAAATAGGCAGCTATAAACGTAAGTCGTCCAAATTTTGTTCCGACGGAAACTCCCAAAGTTTCAACAACGTTGTTTTCAAATGAAGAAAGAATGTGATATTTGTTACCTCGATCAAAAATTATGGCAACTCCATCAAAGGCTCCAGTTCGATAAATGAAATAATTTGCGTCCCTTTTAAGCTCATGGTCAGGTTTAAGGAACGTTTCAGTTATAACGGCGATATGCACGTTAAGAACTCCCAATAAGTTAAATAGCTCATCTTCCTTATCTTTAAGAGATCGAGCATTCCAATTCAAAATATTGAATGATTTAAAATCCAGTACAAAGTCATGACTATTTTATTAGCAAATTTTACTCCAGCTTGAATAGCATCGGACAGGGAGATAGTTTTCAGCATATCAGTAATCATGTCGATTAATGATTTACAAAAAAAAAAAAATCATTCAAAAGCAATATCATCATCGAAATTTCCGTTAGAATTATGTTGGCTAGAATTTTGATCCGGAAAAGTTGATGATCACAGTCAAGCAGGCCAGTTTTGGTGAGATCATCCCATTTTTATCTGTAAATTACTAATTTGGGGAACATTGGAGGCATTTGGCAGATATTTAATTAAACTCGAATCATTTCACAGAACCATCTTAGCGGCAAATGCAACGCAGTAGGCCTGGCCGTTTTGATGTTTGTGTCATATCTCAGATATGCTGCAAACATCAATGTTGACAAGAAAAATGATTAGGCGTTATCTAACCTAATCATTTTCCAGGATGATTTCTCGTACTGGCTGCCTTTATATTCGATTAGATTAAATAGATGAACATTGTTAGCTTGTGAGTTGTTTGTACTTATGGGTACGTATGTAGAATTTGTTCCTCGCTGACCGTTGTTAACAGCTGAGAAATTTGAACCTGATCTCCCTAAGAACGTTTCCCACTTGTCGCTTGGAACGAGATTGTAGGATCGCTTTGCGAGTCTTAGATTCCCAAAAATTGGATTTGTGGTTTTCACCACAATTTAAACATTTAAATACATGGTATGTAGCAATGTTTTGTTCTGTGACCTTATCTTTGGCACTTACGGCACTGCGTGAGGTTTTGGAAATTTACTTTCGTCTTCCTGAAGAATTCCCACTTCACTCGGACATGGAGCATCGCCAGGACAAGATTTGATTACTTGGTAGTATTTTTTCAATTCATCTTTGATCAAGACAACCTTGAACAGACGTTCAGTTTGGTGTCGTAAGTGAAAATGTGTGTAGCCTCTCAATAAGGTACCTGAAAAGACGTTTGAATCCGTTCAAGGTTTCAACCAATACACCGCATTCACCCCGACGGCCAATTTGAAGTAGAAACTTGAATTTAACGAAGTTCAAAAGTTCCGTGCTAAGATCACGGAAATCGGAAGTGGTTATAACAATAGGAGGGACCTTTTTCTTCTAGGCATTAAGCCGGAAATGTTTACTGGCATTTTGCCTGTATGATGGATCATTCTCATCAGCTGTGAGCTTATCAAATTGATTGCTGAAATAAATTTTATCAGAAGGGGGATCAAGAGATTGCCCTTTTCTTTTGCATTTAGACGCCATGGCAGCAGAGAAAAGTTATTTCAAATCGACTTCCAAGCAGATTGCTATAATAATCCGAAGGATCAAAGAGGAATTTTCCAAATCGACATCCAAGCAGGATTACCTGGGGTAGGGTCCAAAGAAGGATCGACGAGGAATAAAATCGAACGAGGTGGAAAATTTGTAGGCACTACTGCGTAGTGCTGTTTAAAATTTGTTCAGCTTTAGGTAGCAGTAACATCAAATAGGTGTTGATTATATGTACTGTATGTATTGTTTGTAAACGATTTGCAATCACAGAATAATATTTCAGGCATAACATTTGATAACGGCACAAAAGCATTTGTAAACAAACTTTCTAAGGCCCTTTACAGTGGAACCAAAGTACACCCATGCAAACCTACAACATCATCGGATAGGTGCAACTATCACCTTTTCGAAAGTGGTATTGGTTTGCGTGGGCATACCAAAGGTTAGCGTGTAAAGGGCCTTAGAAAGCTTGTTTACAAATGCTTTTGTGCCGTTATCAAATGTTATGCCTGATTTGTTCTCATTCAATAGCACATATGAGCATCAGGTGGCCTAAATAAAATCGAACCATATATACTTGATGGGCGCATAAATCTTATATGATTTCATAGCACATTTATGAGCAGAAATTGGATTTGAATAAAGGCAGAATATTTCTCATGTTGTATGTTTGCAAAGCAATTTTGCGCATATTCGAATTTTGTAATATTTTTCGTAAATGTACATGATTTCTTGCATAAGAACGAGAAGGATTAGTCCATAATTCCATTATCTTAAGTACTTATCCCTGACAGATAAATATGCTTGTTTTGCCTACGATGTGCAGACTTCGTCAGTGTCTTGTACTAATACCTTACTGAACGAATTATTGTGCAAAATTGCACATAATTTAGTGTAACATTGTGTGCGACTACTAATTTTTCAAACGGTTTGAAAATGGTCACCCATAGGAGTGACTAATAAATCGCGTTGTATAGCGTACATTTACATAACGCTAGATATAGCGTAAAGTTACAGATTGATCATGTAAATGTACGCGAAATAGTTATCGCATAAATCGACAATGCAGAAAGGATCCGATTTTTTCAACATCTGAATTTTCTAAAGCATCACAATTATCCGGAAATTCTTTGAAAAATATTGAATAGCGTTTGAGATTTTAAAGTGCTGAGTATAAGGAAGTTAGAAACAGTGGATATGTGTTGCCAAAATTAGTGTATTGTATACAACTTGCATGAAAGATTGAACACAATTCTGGTTTTATGTCAAGATTAGCTCGAAATCACAAAAAGGAGCATGAAATTCATATATTTTTATCTGTGTTGAACTTGTAAATAGGGTTAACTACCCCATTTCCGGCCTATTAAGCTAAACTCGCACTTAGTCTTTTTATGTAGCATAGTTTAGCACCAAACGGAATGTTATTATTACTTATGGCTTTACCAAATTTATTTACTTTTCCGTACGTACCGTAAGATTTGATAAAGAGAAACAAATTGTTAAGATATTGTTAAAAGTCTAACACTGCTTCTTGACGCCAAACTCGACCTACGGATTCTAAACTCGGCCAAACGCATTGAAACGCCAATGAATTCACTTCGGCCTATCGGATGAAGATAAAGATCGATTCGGTAGGCCGAAGTAGTTCTCTACCCTATGTTCTGTTCGTATACTCTGCACTTTTACATAAATTACAGAACTAAAAAAATAGAGTATGTTTGTGATAGCCGTTCCCATCAAGTAAAACAATTTTGCATATTTAAATCATCTTCAAGAGTCATACTACCACTTATCAGTGTCAGTTTAGCAATCAACTGAGCCACCAGCATGAATAGATAGGAAGCACATATAAGATGAATGATTGGTACCGGTTTGCAGCTTTAGCTTTTCAAATTACCAACGGCGCTACCGGTCTTTTACTTCTCCCTGAAGCCAAACCACACGATCACGTGCCATGTTATGTCTCACAACGGATCGAGAGAAAAAATCCCTTGGCCCACAGTGGAATTTTCTCACAACCGAAGCCCACGCCATCGCCGCTTGATGTTGATGTGAAAATGCAGTGCGGAATATGACAAGAAACCGTCGGGTGGTTTTTTTTTTCTTTTTCAGAGCCTTGACTAACGGTGACTTGGGGAAAAAGACATTAGCGAAAATTTGCTTCCGCTGAACTGGAACCGTGTGAGCGATTAATGCGGTTGATTTCAACCAGAGACGAATTTCTTATAAAGCGCGAGAGATAATCTAAGGTTGCAAAAATTTGGCACTCGGTGGAAGGAGGAAGGTTCATCTACCCGGAAAGTCCCGTGTCGCAGTCGTAAATCCATTGCTAGGTACTTATTCGGACACGATAAACATTTGCTCTCTACGTAACTAGTTTCATAAGAAAAACGCAACTCGCCAATGTGTTAATGAAGAATAGAGGTCGCGGTGGGAGAGCAATGCTACAACGTTGACATCGAACAAAACCACGGAACTAAATTCTTCTTCCTAAAGTGTGTTGACTTGAACCATCCGCAGAATGTTGATTCATTCAATTTTCGGCTAAAGCCACCACCACTATGGCGGCGCAGTGCTTGGAGTCTCTTTTGACGTCGCAAGTGCAGCAGTTATCGATTTCCTTTCGACGAAAGCAATTATCGGTTCAGGGTCACCAAGTTTGATGATGAGGTGTTGTTTACAAAATGCTTATCACGAATCCTGACGGCTGGCCAAACATGGGTTGCATGTTCACTCACTAGAGCGGTAAATTATCGATTTTTGTTTAGAGGGAGCGTGTCGTTGAAAGGTGCTCTTCTGTGACGTTGCCACTTGATTTTTGATCGTTCGGATATTTGGATTTTGCTTCATGCCTCAACAATTCACTGGTACAGCTTTGCCTTTGTGCAAATTAATTTCACCATCGCGAATCATTGTGGCTTCGCTGTAGAGTGGCTAATTTCAATAACGGTTACTTCTTTTTCACGGCAATTATAAAATAAAACAATACAAAATCGAATGGCTTTATTTACAATCCAGGGTACAGTGTTAAGTTGAGCAAGTACAAAAGTTTAGACTCGTATTTTCACTAGTAACAGTCTTGATCGAAACGGTGTCTAGTATAGAATAAAATTCAATTTACGTATATACCTACTTGTTTCGGGTCTTAGTACGGCGATGTAACGATAATTAATCCTAAGCTACTAGCTAAGCATAAACAAAGATCGTAGAATACTTCGAGTGTGTTGAAATCTGCTATTTACAAACGTAGCGCAGTGTCCAGGAGACACTCCTGAACAAATCACTTATGGTTCCCTCTCAGACTTTTTTCGGTTTTACAGGTCCTTACTTAGTTAATCACTGATCTTTCCTGGATTCGCTCCGTTGTTCGACGTTGGAGAAGTCGTCCAGCTTGAGACAGTTGTTATTCTCTGCTACAAGTAGCGACTCGTGGACGTTTTCGGCAGCGACAGCCGCCGCCACCGCGGCCGTTGTCCTTTTGTAGTTTTCCAGGTAGAAGTTCATAAACAGGACGAAGAATATGCTTGCGTTCAGCAGTAGCAGGAACGTGATGAACTTCGGGTACGCGCAATCCGTCACCAGAGCGTTGATGGCGTGTACAATGCAGATGATGAACTGAGCCTGTGGGTAATTTCGATGTGTTAGTCAGACGAATTTTACGAATTTTGGGTTTAAGACGTACAATTTGAATCTCGGTCATGTACTTCTTCCACCAGAGGTACTTCTGATAGCGAGGCCCCATCGACGACAGTAGATAGTAGAAGTACATCAGTGTGTGGACAAAGTTGTTGATGATGTTTGGCAGTGTTGTGTTTCCTCCTGTTGAGAATTATGCATACAAATAAGTTCGAAATTCGATCAAAATGGGTCTTACCAGCTAGGAATTTAGTCAAGATCCACGCTTCGATCGGAGTCAAGGAGTGGTGATACACATGGAGCCAAGAAATCTGCGATTTCTTCTTCCTGAGCACGAAGAACACAGTGTCTGCGAATTCTGAAAGCTTCGACAGGTAGTATACGTAGCACAGGTTGAACATCTGCGAAAGAAGTCCCCTTCCAATGATTAAACATCCTTCCATTCATACAAATAACATAAAAACTGTACCCTTCGTGAGAGCATCCCATCAGAGTAGTCAACCGGTTCGCACGTCAGACTGTAACCCCTCGCCCAGCCGGCCATCAGGTGCTGAAAAGAAATCCCGCTCAAGCGTGTAACCCTTGCAATGCCCTACTAAGCTAACCGGAATCAGAAAATTTCTCACCTCATAGAACATGTACGCACTCAGCAGCACCTGAAAGAGATTGTAGTAGAACAGTGTCCTGGTCAGCTGCATTGGTTTCCGGTCCTGCATGTACGTCGGTCCAACCACCAGAATCCAGGCGAGGTACGTCACAATCATTCCGAACGTTGGCAGCGGGTTGTCCATAAAAGGGAGTGCCTTGGCACGGGGGTCTGCAGTAAAGAAAATAGCACCATTAAAAGGGCCGCGCCGGCCGGTGCAAAGGTTATTGTCGTCATCAAACGTAAACTGTGAGAAAGACGCTTAGATCCTATTTTTTTATGGCGGAGGCCAAACATTATTCTCATCAAATATTTGTGGATCATCAAACGTGCTTCCCAGAACGCCAGATCACATCAAACGAATTCTTTTAATAGTTGGTTTGTTCGACAAATAACTAGGTAAACCGGAGCTGTATTGTTCGTGGCAAACCGGTTCATGACGGAAAATGATTCACTCGCAAATGGTTGTTTGTAAAATAATTTTCGTAAGCCTTATGTTCCCGGATGCATTTACAAGTCATGGGGGTATTCCAGTACACAGTACACACAGAGAACTTTTGCACATTGTTCCTACTGTGTTATCGTGTCCAATATGAAAGAGGTGACGCGTGGATCGAAGGCATATTTAAGGAGATAAAGGAAGAAGTAGCAAATTTTTCGCTTTCAAAATATTTGGGGGTAACTTTTTTTTTCAGTTACAATACAGAATCAGTCATAACACAGGCAAAACCGCGGAACATCCTGGTACAATGTATCGTAGAAATTTTGAACTCCAAATAAGATAAACATTAGATTACATGTTCAATAATTTACACGTTTAAAACGTTTATTTTAAACTGAATTTTGCATTATCATATACACAGACAGATAAATAAAAAAAAATCAGTGGACTTTTAGATAAATGAGTTGACTTACTCACAAATATTGCAAATTGATTTTGCATCTCTAATCCATATGGATATGTCTTGTACATAGGCCTTTAAGGAAAATATTCAGTATGCCGGACTTTGGGAAAAAAATATGTGAAAACCGATACTTTTTTTCTGGAGCTTTAAAATATGTGAAAACCGAAACTGAACTAAAACAAAATGGTTTTTTTACGGGTTTAAATCAAAATTATTATGCAATTCATATCAGAATTCCCATTATATTAATACCAGATTTAACTTGGAATTCTGCTCAGAATTATTATGGATTTCTTTTAAGCTTACCAGAAATTCTTCTAAAAAATGACGTTGAATTCTCCTTGGAATTTTCTTCTAAATTACTTTGAAACTTTTTTTAAGAATTCCATTTAATCTTCTAAATTTTATGAAACTAAACCCCAAATAACAATCCGTACTTTTTTTTTAATTCCCTTGATGCTCTCTTATGAATCTCCCTCAGTATTCCATAGTAATGCTTGTTCAACCCTTAAAATTCTCTTTATGGTTCTTTCCAAATTCACATCAGAATTTTCTTGGCAATATCATTAAAATTAATCAACTGTTCTCCTCAAGATCACCATTCAATTATCATATAAATCATGAAAAGATTCACCTTGAAGTTCTCACAGCACAACTACATTGGAAGTCTTCCAAGAATAGCTGTGAATTCAATTCAGAACTTCCTTTCGTCTCTCAAGAAATCCCTCAAAATTGTTTAGGACTTTATTTCGAAATTTCAGAATTCCTTAGAATTTCTCCCAAAACTTTTTAAGAATCCTCGTCAGCATTTCTTGGAAATTATCACATTATTTCTTTTTTTAATTTCTCCTCAAAATTCCACAGGTATTCTTGTCATAATTCTATACAATATTCTTTAAATGGAAACCTGGAAATCCTTCCATTGCCCAGAATGTGATAATTGATTTTTTTTATAATCCTGAGATTTTTAAAAAATTTCAAAATAGGAAAAATGGCTCTAATGTTGGCCTATGGATCTATGATTGAGCCCATAGCTAAACATCTGCTATTTATCAATTTTATTTAGATGAATGCGTCATTGGGACGGTACTAATGGATATTTTTGGTCGCTATTGACAATTTAGTCGATTGCTGAATTTATGTATGGGCCCAAATTAGGGGCATTTAGGCCGACATTACATTCATTTCCACTATGTTGTATTTACACATTTATATATAGAGGAAATGGATGTAATGCCGGCCTTCCTGTATGTCTTCAAATCTACAGGCCTTGTAGCCTTCAAATTTTCTCGTGCATCGTACGGGTTAGGCAAAAGGTGTGCGTTTGACTTGGTACTGTCGCATTAATGGCCCTTCGCTCATTTTCAACTTCTATTCAATTTGCCTACTGCCGTACTCAAACGGAACTATCCACCTACTCTCTTCTAAGATCATTCTCTTGCTAATAAATTATCACACTAATGCTTCATGGTAGATAGCATTTCCAACCAACTCTGAAAATTGCAAACTTCGCGTATGTAGGGTAGAGAACTACTTCGGCCTAATCGTCCATTTTGGGCCTATCGAGCAAAAAACTTCAAATAAATGCAAGATTTCAGAGTTAAGAAGTCAATTATGCGTTTGGTACGATACTTTAGTTAATAAGCTACCGAACAAAGTCAATGAGAACGCGTGGTATGAAGGTTTTCACTAATTATTTCAAAAAACAAAAGAAGCACTCTGACCGAATCAAGTTTTATCTTCATCCGATAGGCCGAAGTGAATTCATTGGCGTTTCAATTGCGTTTCAATGCATTAGGCCGAGTTTGGCGTCAAGAAGCAGTGTTAGACTTTTAACAATATCTCAGCAATTTGTTTTTCGTTATCAAATCTTACGGTACGTACGGAAAGGTAAATAAATTTGGAAGCCATCACTAATAATAACATTCCGTTTGGTGCTAAACTACGCTAGATTAAGAAAGATTAAGTGCGGGTTGTGCTTAATAGGCCGGAAATGGGGTAGTTAACTCTAGTAACATAAAAACACTTTGAATGTTGTAATTGTAGTCAGAACTCACTTAAAATTCTTCCCCCTCACAATACCTTTGGATTTCGCCTTAGCATTTCCTATGTGTGCTCCATAAAAAATAAATATTAATGGAATTATGCTTTGAATTCGATTCGAATGGAATGCTACCAGAAATTTCTCTGGATTGATCCTTCAAATTCACATCGAATTCTCCTCGGTATTCCCTTGCTATTTTCCTCGGAATTTCGTAGGAATGTTTGTCATAAAATCCTTTGAAAACTCTTCAAAATTCTTTTGGACCGCTCTTCAGAATTCCCTTGATATTTTTCTTAGAAGATTTCCTCACGATTCCCATAACTTTCTCTTCCTATTTCCTTTAGAATTGTAGACAGAATTCAGTTATTAGTAGTATCCCTAGTACTCGTTTTACAATCACATTAAATTATAATGAAAATTGGTCCAATGGGTATTTGTTAATCCAAGAACCTTAAAAAATTTCCATAATCTTTTTTTTTTTCAAATCCCAGTAGATTTCCTCTTCAAAAAAGTTTGCATGATTAAGTCCTTTTAATGTTGTCGAACCTCTTAACATAATCCATTTATGAAGAGCTTTTTGAGTGTGTTGATTTATTTCCTTTCAATTCCGTTATAATTGCTTATCTTTTGACAGATACGCGTATTTCGACTTATACTTGCAGACTTCATCAGTGCCAAGTGGTGTTAAGTCTGCTAGTAGTAGAAAAATACGTGTATCTGTCAAAAGATGAGTAATTATATCGGAACTAAAAGGAAATAAATAAACACATTCAAAAAGCTGTTCATGATTTAGTTACTGAAAAAAAAATAAATAGGATTGCTGTCCCTTTTGTCGGCGTTTTGTATTGTCCAGATACCGCATTGTTCTGTTAAAAAGAATGAAGAACAGGAGAATATTATCGATCTTTAGATCCATGGAGCCATTTCCATTAAATTTTGTTTAGAATTGAAGCTGACCACAATTATTCAAAATATTCAATATAGGGTATCGGTATAAAATATATTTCATATTACAATAGCCGTTTAAACATTTTTTCCCATCGTATTATACAGGCCCAAAAATGACATAAAAGGAACATTCAATTTTGTGTAAAAAAAAAATCGACTCGAAAAAGACAGGTAAAGTGCGGGTTGTGCTTAGTAGGCTAAACATAGGATCTATATCCTTCGTCAGTGAAGTATAAATGAGTTATTACAGTTATTTAGTTATTGATCCCAAATGAACCGAAACGTCAAACGAAGATAACAGTAAGAAACATTCGCTTCACTTCAAAAAGTTAAAAATAAACAAAAGTATGAACGCTCAAAAAGCTCACCGATATTTAGATAATATTGTATATCTTTTTTAATAAAGCTGATCTAGATTAAAATAATGTAGCTAAATTCGTCTAGATCTGGATCAAAATAACGTCTACAAATTTTAGTATTTTTATACGGATCTTTCAAAAGAGAGTATGCTATGTTCATCGGAAGGACTAAAACCATAATTCTGTCCAATTTCCTGGTCAAACCAAGTGAAATATCTTGGATTAGTACCTGACCAAAAATTAACTTTTAAAGCTCACATTGAGAGCATTCAAGCCAAATGTAACAAATATATCAAATGTTATAATGAGGAAATCCAAACTTTGCCTGACGAATAAACATCTAATATTTAAACAAGTTTTTAGACCGGCCATGCTTTATGCTGTGCCAATATGGTCTAGTTGTTGCACTACCAGGAAAAAAGCACTTCAAAGAATTCAGAACAAAGATGATGATTTTGAAGTTACCTCCCTGGTACAGTACTACCGAGGTTCATAGAATTTCGAATGTTGAGACTTTAGAACAAATGTCCAAAAACATAATCAATAATTTCAGGCAAAAATCGTTGCAATCCTCAATTGCAATGATTAATTCCCTTTATACTTAGATATGATTTAGTTTTAGTTTTTAGTTTTAAGATGTAAATTGTTATACTGACATGCAATTTTAAAAAACCTGTTCAAAATACTGAATTGCCAAGGCAGGAACAATGTAAAACACTTAGATATATATCATAACAATTAAGGTTGTAAGTTACTGTAGTAGCTGAAGCACCTAGGTTAAAATGAAATGAAATTTATTTTAATTTTGGAACAAATAAAGAGTTTAAAAAAACCATAATTCTGGTAGCAGATCAAGTTCCCCACCATCTGGAAGGACGTAGAAATCTTTGAAGGTAAACCAACCCACAGGTGTAA